TGGTCAGAGTTGGCAACCCCAAAGAGTTTGACCCTTTTATTTTGGTTTCTAATCCTGCCAGGAATGAGAGGTGCGCCTAATTAGTCCTAATTAGGAATTCAATTTTTTTAAACAACCTAGTTTCTGGTCACGATGTTGACGTGGCCAGAAAGTGAGTCGATTTCTATAATAAAGTTTGGAATGGGTCGATTTTCGAGATAAGAGTTTGGATTGGGTTTGTTTTGAAAATTTCTTCTTCTCAGTGGTGTTTATATCATAACCGGTGGCCACATTCAACAGGTTCTGATAGGATGATTAGTCTATCTTTTTGTCCTTGGCTCACCAAAGATTAATCATCGGACAAATTGCAGACAACACGCTTAATATTGTTGATGTGCTCGTACGTAAATAAACTTTTCACCCACTAGATCTTTTTATATTTTGAAATTTTTGTCTAATAGTACCGCTAAAAAAAAGCCCTTTACACATATGAAGTAATAATACTTGGAGAAGGTTCTACAATAATTATAATATCACTCATAATAACCTTAGACAACCTTTATGTATGAACAGTTGTAGACAGTTTCATTTGCAGGAGCTATTATCAGTGGCGGAGCCACAGGCCCACGTTCATCAAAGTGTGCGCAAGTGCACCAACTCAAAAAAATAATAATAAATAAATAAATAAAATTGCATTATACTCATCTTATGTAGTAAAACTAATATTAAAATCCTAGCTGAGTATTTGCCCCCACTTGGTCCCTTATTAGACGCATAACTATTATGGTATTTACAATTCAATTTTACTAGTTTGCGGTCCGTGCAAAGCAATACGATAAATTTTTTCATGCTACAGCAATCGTGTTTCTTAAATGCTACAGTGATTTTTGAATTGCTACAGCATCTCACATTTTGAAAATGCTAGTGTTCCCGTGCTACAGTAATAATGGTACTTTTCATAACAGCAAACGCAAGTTCCTCGAATTGCTAATTACTACAGTGTTCCAGTGTGCTACAATGATAATACTGCTGTTCATGCTGCAGTAAATATTTTACTGTTGAATTTACTGTAGCATGAATAGGAATTCTCTGATCCTCCTATTTGTATAAAGGAATAGATTATAGCCTACTTGTAAGTTTAAATAAATTATACTTTTAATTATAAAGACATGTGCTTTAAATAGAGGCCCATGTTGTTAAATATAATGGATTTTAACTATATGCAATTAGTTTGATAAGGTCTATTTAGTTAATCCAAAAATCCATTAATTAATCTAATTATCTCTAATGGACAAATTTTCAAAACCAACCTATTTGGATTTTTATTCCCAAAAAACGACCCCATTCAGTTTTATTTGCAAAAACCGACCTGGTTTCAGCCTCAGCGCTGAAACCAGGTCGGTTTTTGAAAAAAACTCTCCGAAACTTCACGGGAGTTGAACTCCCGTGAAGTTTTTTGAACTATGAAACTTCACGGGAGTTCAACTCCCGTGAAGTTTCGGAGAGTTTTTTTCAAAAACCGACCTGGTTTCAGCGCTGAGGCTGAAACCAGGTCGGTTTTTGCAATTATTTTTGAATGGGGTCGTTTTTGGGGAATAAAAGTCCAAATAGGTTGGTTTTGAAAATTTGTCCTATCTCTAATCGATCCCTCTTACTTTGCCATCATTATTGATCGATCCGTTTCAAGACAAAATCAAAATGAAAGGTGCGACTACTAGAGAGATAGAATGATTTTTTTTCCTTTTTTTAGGGGTGGGGGGATAGGTAAAATCTTTAAGCTTTATATGTTCTAAATACTTTGCATAAGATTTTATTAGAATTATTTTTGCATAAGAGCAAAACTTGTGAATTGTGATATAGTGGGTAAAGCTTAATTGCATAATTGGAAAAAAAATTGGCCCGACGATGGCTAGAATCGATCAAAATACTTTTTTAAGTGGAAATTTTTTATTTTCTATGTTATCATTATTAATCTTAACTAGTATAATGCATGTGCTTCACACGTGGACATATTTTGTTTATATTTAATATTAAATTATCTAATAAATTATATATAAATATTTTATCAATTTATTTTATTACACTCTTATTTAAAAAATTAAGTTGTGCCATTATTAATACTTATACTATTATTAACATACATTTAGTAGTTATTTAAATTTTCTTATTATTATGTTACTAAAAAATTTATTTAAGAGTATAATTATTAAATAATAATGTAATCATTAGTTTAAGTAGCACTATTGAAATAATTAAACTATTTATATCATTAAATATTTACACTATGTAGATATTTTATTATAACACTAATTAAATAATAACAACAATTCTTAATGTTATATGACTTTATGTTGTAAAGAATATTACATTGTTTGATAATTAACATCATTTTAATAAAAATCTGGATGTTATAAATTAAAAATACTTTTATTTATGAAAAATACTTTATATAAAAATGTTGGATCCTTGAAATTTATGAGACATTTACTTTCCAACAAAGAGTGCATGTCTCATAAATTTCAAGGATCCAATATTTTTATATAAAGAAATTTTCCTAAATAAAGATATTTTTAATTTATAATGCTGAATTTTTATTACTAAGATGATATTATAATGTCGAACAAGGTAATATTTCTTAGAATATAAAGAATCATTCCCTATTTATAGTATAATTATAATTATAATTATAATTATGTACAATAATTTATTAAATAAATAATTTTACTATTTTATTATAATTAATAATTCTTTATAATAAAATATAATATATTTATAAATTTTATTATCATTTATAAACGATTAATATATTCTAATGAATGACAAAATGTTTTATGAAAAAGAAGAAAACAGTATATGTCTAATAAATTTCAATAATCCCAGATTTTTATAAAAAGTAATTTTTCTAAATAAAATTATTTTTAATTAATAACTTCTGAAATTTTTTTACTAAGATAATTTTAATTATCGAATAAGGTAATATTCTTTATGACATAATTATGTACAATAATTTATTAAATAAATAATTTTACTACTTTTTATAATTAATAATTATTTATAGTAAATTATAAATATTTTATGAATTTTTTATCATTATAGATTATTAATATATTCTAGTAAATGATCAAATATTTGAGAAAATGAAGAGGTGCATGGTTAATGAGAAGTTATGGATCATTAGTTTCATAAATAATGGTATAATTGTGAGTTACAAAAAATTAAGAGGGTAAAAAAGAAAATCAAAAGTTTTGACATGGGTATTTTATTTTATAAGTAGTATAGATTTATAATAGTAGTTTATTATTTCTAATTATACAAAAAATTATTTAGTTGTATATGTTTAAATAGGTCATGGATAAATTTTAAAAAGATCATAACTACCAAGATAATGTTGAGAATTCTTTAAAGCAATGACGTCTAATATTATATTTTATTTAATTTTTTTGGCCCCACTACCAAATGGGTCCTAGCTCCGCCACTGCTTTTATGGTATGGAATCTAATACGTAATAATTTTTTATATTAATGTATTATTTAGTAGTAGCACCTATGGAGATTCACTAACAATTCATTAGAACACTATACTCTTATTTTGACATATGCAAATAATACACCATTAAAGAGTGATACATACTAGTCCAGAAAAGAATAGTATAATTTGATCCATTTAAACTTGTTAGTATACATTTCATTAACAATCACATAAAAATAGTCTAGAGAAAGCTTAGATAGCCGCTAAAGCATGTTATATTGTTATCATTAGGGGTGCTAAAACGTATCCGTATCCGAGGAAATATCCATAATCGTATCTGTTAGGATACTAATATGATTACTCAAATCTATAGCCGATACGATATGATTACAGATATAGTTTTGTAGTGAAATATTTGTATCTATATCTGAAATATTCGAATACATATTAGTCATACTCTTACGATGGTTTCAATTATTAGATTATGGCTTTGTGGTTAATTTTGATGATCAAGATGTCTAATCTTAACTTTTCAGTTATAATGAACATATTAACGAACTCTTTTGTATCACATGAACTATGTTTTTCTCAATACTATCTAGTACATATTAACGAACTCTTTTGTATCACATGAACTATGTTTTTCTCAATACTATCTAGTTTTCTCATATCCGTTTTGTATATCCGCATGCATATATGCTTATATATCCGCATGTGTATCCGTAACCGTATCCGATTTTAACGGATATGGATATGAATTTTTCTTACCAATGTATATCCGTATCCGTATCCTTATCTGAGATAGGTAAGCGGATATGGATATGGTAAGCATCATATCTGAGCCGTATCTGGACCGAATGCACCCCTAATTATCATTCAGCACCTCTCAACTTGTATCTAGTGACCTCTTTATTCTTAAGAAGATGCTCTCTCTCTTATTTACACAACACGGAAGGTTGTTCTTCTGACTTGAGCCCCCTTTCCCCCCTCCCTTGGCTTAATCAAAAAATAGAGTTAATTGCACGTAGACCCCCTAAAATATCGCGTTGTTTCACTTATCATCCCTTAAGCTTGATATTGGTAGACAAACCTATTTAACTAAACTTAACATTATCATCGCCCTCCATGCATATTGTTTGTTGGATGGTGAGTTATTTCTGATAAGGTTTATGGAGAAGATATAGCGAATATTGAGGGAGTAGCGGAGCGCAATAGTATAGGAGCTCTATCTGCTATAAATCTCTAATGATGTTTACTTGTAGAGGGTTTATCAGTCAATATCAAACATAAAAGGGTAATAAGTGGCACAACACAATAGTATTAGGGGCCTCCGTGCGATCATAATCCAGAAATATTCATAGTAGGAAGATGCGTAATAAGTTCGAAGGATAGGGATGTTTTTGCAAAACAGTTGCCACAGCGACATAAAGGCAGAACCATTGACCCTTACCAAATCCGTCCCTTCCGTCTTTCTCTCTTCCCAAGTGACATAAAGGCTGACGCACTGACAAAAAGCTAATACCCTCCCAAATCCCAATTGAAACTTTAATAGTGTGTTTGATAGATGACGTCCAAGGGAAAGGAGGGTTTTTTTTCCTTCTTTTTTTTATTCTTTTTTATCCTCCAATTTGGCAGTAATATTTTAGTTTAATTTTTCCCCTCGTTCTCCTCGCTCTTCAAAATGCAACTCTCGAAAGAAAATAGTAAACCAAACTTTCCCTTCCACTTTCTTTCTCCACCCTCCATCCAAACTATAAATATTTCTAAGTTCCATTTTTCTTCATTTTAGCCAAAATCTCCATCTGGGTTCTGATAATTTCAAAAAAAAAAAAAAAAAAAAAAACCCCAAAAAAAAAAAAAAAAAAAAAAAAAAAAAAAAACCCCAAGAAAACAAAAACTCCTACTGAGAATTTGAGCGATGGGTGACGAGAACAAGGCGCCGTTGTTGGAAAAAGTTTACTTTGAGAACTGCCCAGGTTGCAGGATTGATAAGAAGAAGGATGAGAGCACTGGGTTACCCTACAAAGAGTTCTTCTTTATGTGGATCATCACTCTTGTAAATGGTAATGGGATTTTTTTTTAATCTGTTTCTCTTTTGGCTTTGAGTTCTTGGTTGTTTCTTTTGGCAACTATTGGATGTTTGATGGGTTTTGAAGATTGTTCTCTTCCTTAGCTGGTGTTCTCAGTGCATGTACTACTCTACTCTTTTAATGTTTGGTGTTGGATTTATTTTATAGCTGTTGGTCCTTTATGTTCCTCCATAATACATCCTTGTGTTTGTGATTTGTCTCAACACTAGGATCTTATAATGGGCATCACTTGAGAGAGCCAAGCCCACCTTGTGCTTGTAAGGATCGATGGAACTTTTGACTTTGGTTTAGTACTCTCTAGCAATTAGCTTTAAATGTGAATTCTCTCAGGTCTCTTATAAGTAAATGATATGAGAGCCAAACCCACCTTCTCATTTGCAAGCCAAAGCAGTGTCACCGAGATTGCAATGTTCAATGGGACTAGACTAGTGCAAAGCCAGCCAGGCCGCGTCGCCGTTGGGATTGAAAAATTGTTGTGATGCGTTAGGGTTCATTTAATTCCATGTTGACTAGGCGAGGAGTTAATTGTGGCTTTATGAAGGTTGTCATTATGATAGTGATCGTTTACAAGAATTTAGCCTTTCTTTTCTATCAGTTGGAGTATAAAATTATAACCCTCAAGCCTCATTAAGACTTTGGAATTTTGATGCAGTAGTAAGGTCCTATGACATGGTACCAGAGAAACCCAGGTTCGGAATCTTGTTGGCCACAGATTTTTAAGCGTTTTGATGCATTGGCAGTGGCCTTTGACACTACTTGCTAGTAATAGCAGAATTTTCCCTAAAAAGTAAATTGACTTTTCTCTTCTAGGTCT